TGATAAACAGAAATTCGTCCTGCAGCTCCACGGGAAGGAAGGGCCACCAAAACTTGCTCTGCCCCAGAGCCTACTGGGGTGGAATTCGCAGCATCTCTTTTTTCCATTTCTGCCAATGAAACTGGCATCTTTCCAGACCTGCAGAAATACCAATCTCTGCTGCCAGGCCCTCCCTGGCCAGTGCCTTGCCCCAGGCAGACCCCCTGTGGGAGCGGATCTTGGCGCTCCATTCTGCTGAGCCCTGAGCTGGTCAGTCACGTGGCTCTAGCGGGGATGCCCAGGCTCAAACTTGCTTCACTCCTGCCCAGCTGCATGACCTCTGCCAAGTCCCCTTCCTCTCAGGCCTCAGTACCCAGCCCCCCCGCCCCCGCCACACACACACAGGACAGAAACTATGATAGCAACCCCATGAGTTGAGGACTCAATGAGCCGGCCCACGTGAAATACTTGGAACTGGGCTTGGCAAAAATGTGGCCTAGCATTACCTCTGGGTGGACTGCCTGTGCCCGGGACACCAAAATATTTTTGGCAAGAATGTGCTGTTTCAAAATAGGAATTGTCTGTTGTCACCATGAGAAAAGTCGGGGCTCCACTGGACTTCCTGATCCTTATTTAATTGGATCAGGAAATTTTACTTTAGTGGTGTAACATTTCAGAGCTTAGAGCAACTAAGGAGCCCTGTGGGGCTCTACAGGGTTGTGGGCCCTCTGTGGTCGCCTCTCCTGCTCCCTCATCTCACAGAGAGAGTCCTGGGCTCAGAGAGGAAGGTCAGTGGCCAGTGGGGCTAGTCCAGACCAGCCAGAGGTGGACAGCAGAGCAACACCGTGGCCTCCTGGTCATCCCACCTCAGAGCAGGCCTGGCCTGAGGACCTATGGTCAGTGTGAGGTGGACAATAGGAGCTTCTTAAACAGAACTTCCTCCTCTTCCACTCCCTCCCTCTGCTGCACTTCCCTGAATAGTAGTCAAGCCCTTGGAAGGGGGGTCAGTTACCCAATTTGAAGGAGCCACTAGGCTCGGGCAGACATGGCTTCCCCCACCTGAAGATGCACCGGACCCCAGAAGAACTCCATGGCGGGGCTCCAGCGGTAGGATCCCCCAGCCCGGTGACCTCCCTGACCTCACGGGGAGTGCCCTGGTGGATCCCTGCTCACCCAGGGTTTATGTAACACTATCTTTCCCAACTGTCCTCAAAGTCACCCTATGACATAAGTAAATGTGCACGTCTGCCCAAGGTCTGGTGGGTGCTCGTGGCACTTCAGCTGTGGGCCAGCCGCTGAGGGTTGCCCACTGAGTTACATTTCCATCCTCTGGGGCAGCGCTTGCTGCTGTATTTTTAAAAAGCGAGCTGCCATTCTTGTACCATCATTCAATATGGAGAAGTGCATGATGTAGTGGCACCCAGGACAGCCGCGGGGGCATGCAGCCATCACCCCAAAAGGAATCCCATGCCCATTACCACCTCTCCCCCGTCAGTGCCTGGCTCTGTCTCTGTGGACACTTTGTATCAATGGACAAATGCACTGCGTGGCCCTTTGTGACCGGCTGCGTGCACTTGGTGTCACGTTTTCAAGCTTCATTCCCACTGCGTGTTCAGCACTATTCATTGTCTGAGTAGTTGTCCACTGTGTGGACGGGCCACTTTCTGCGGGTGGGCATTTGGGCGGCTTCTCATTTTTGGCCACTGTAAATAAACCCTATGAACAGTCCAGTGAAGCTTTTGGTGTGAACCTGTTTGCAGTGCTCTTGGGTGTACATGTAGGTGTGAAAGTTCATTGTGTGACATCGCTGCTGCACCCCTTGGGGATTCACCCCACTGAGTGGGCGCACATGGGCTGCGCCCACTCCCCGAGCACAAGGGCCCGTTGTTCTGCATCCTCTCCAGCACTTGTTGTCGTCGGTCTTCTTCACAGCCTTTTCCCATTATTTAAATTGACTGTTTCTTGATGGGTAAGTTGTCTGTGGTCGGGAGTCTACAGAGGGGGAGCTGAGGCCCAGGATGGGTATGTGACTGGGCCAGGAACTCTGGACTCGCGAGCCGATTGGTCGGTGCCTCCCATCCAGCCACCGCCTCGCCACTCAGTCAGTGGCCTCCTGCCTCCAATTCTGACTTGTCTCTTAGGCCACCCCATGTCTTGGCCTTGCATTTAAAGGGTAGGGCCCCGCAGCCGGAGGGTGGGCCGGAAAGGCGAGGAAGCAGCAGTTCTGCGGAACCAAGCTGGTCCTCTCTTCCCCTCCGAATCACGCGGACCTGGCTGACGTGACCCGGGAAGAGAGGCAGCCCGGGCCCTGTGGTCGGGGCGCCTATTTATACTGGCTGGGTCATGTTGCAAGCTTTTCCTGCTGAGGAGAGGAACGTCACTGTGCACTGACCTCACCAGAAACGCTGACGCACCTTCCCCGCGCATTTCGTTTGGATGGGCTGCCGGCCGCCTCACCTTAGGGCCCCTCCCAGTCCTGCGTATCACGGCCCCCTTGCACCTAGCTCTGGACACTCCAGGGTCCTCCCCCCCTCTTCTGCAACCCTCTGGCCACACCCTCCTTTTGCAAGTTGTTACGGGCCATATTGTGTTCCTCAAATTCGTATGTTGAAAACCTAACTCGGTACCTCAGAATGTGGCTGCATTTGGAGATAAGGTCTTGAAAGGTAACGAGAGTCAAAATGATGTCAACGTGACTGGTATCCTTAACAGAAGAGGAGACGCGGACACGGGAGGACCATCCACAGGCCAAGAGAGAAGGTTCAGGAGGAAGTCAACCCTGCCCACCCCTCGATCTCGGTCTTCAAGCTCCATAACTGTGAGGAAATAAATTTCTGTTGTTTAAGTCACCTGGTCTGTGATATTTTATTATGGCAGCCCGAGCAGACTAATATCTAGCCCGCCTTGCCTTGGGGGCCCTCATCCCTGGTGCTGGCGCAATGGGCCACATGAGCAGAGCAAGGCCTCTCAGATCAGGGTGTCCTTGCTGAAAGGCCCCACTCTCTTTAGCTGTTCCCAGGCATGGCGATCTTGCCAACCTGGGCCTCAGAGGCCTCTGTGGACCGTGGGGAGGTAATAAGGGAAGGAGATGTGGCTGTCCCTCTAGTGTGGACGTCGGTCAGAGAGGCTAGAAGCTCTCGGGTCAGAACTGGTTTCCCTGCCCAGACCTGGGCCTGAGCTTCTCTAAACTTCAGGTTTCTCACTAAAGGAAACCAAGGTATCCCTGCCCAGCTGCTCTCCCTTCCAGGCTGTTGCCAAATGAGATCAGTGATGTGAAATGAAGAAGGATTCCACCTTGGCACAGGCCCCAGGCAACAGCCTTGTGGATGAAAAATTTAGCAGAAGCGAGATTCTCAGGATGAGCACCCAGAACTGTCCATGGGGGTGGCGATGGGGGAGTGATAGGGCTTAGTGTGGTGAACACCAGGCTGGGTGCCAGGGAGCGGGTGGGGGAGGGCGAGAGGAGTTTCCAGGACATAGAGGTGGGTTTGGTTTGGCCTACTGCTAGATCCTCAGCACCTCGGAGTGGCTGGCACAGAGCAAGGGTGTTGAATGAATAAATGAGAGATGGAGGCATGTCTGCAGAGAGGAGAGCTCTCTATGTGAACAACCTTGGTGATCATGATGGCCACCACGGGCAGGATGGACAGGAGGGCATCAGGCCCACCTTCTAGTCATCTCATATTTCCTTGTCCAGGCTCCTCTCTAGGGGCCCAGGGCTCTTCTGTAGGGGCCTTATCCGGGCTCTCGAGCCTCTGAGACCCTTCTCCCCACCGGACTTCTGAGGGTGCAGGCTGAGGACACTTCCTGCAGGCCGGGGACAGCTTCTCCCCACCCTTGTCTGTTCTCACCCAGGCCTCAGTTTACCCCCTCGGTGAAGCCGCAGGTTGAGTTGAGAGGCACCATCTCTAGGGCCTCTTCATGCAGGCAGCCAGGTCTGTGAGGAGAGCGCCTCTGATTCTGCGATCACTATCTTTCAGAGAAAGTGAAACCTGGTACTCAACCGTCACTGAGGCGACTCCCCCCCCCAGGCTTCCCCTCTGAGCTCATTGCTTCCCCATCACGTCTGCCCCTGAACCCGCCCCCCAGCAGCCAGTACTTGGAATTAGACTTTCATCTTTCCTTTTTCCTTCGGAGGACTTTTGCCTTTTATGTCCATGACAGTAGCAGACCAGGGAGGTGGGCCAGAAAATGCTCTCCTCCTCCTCCTCACAGGCAGGCCGCTGAGGCCCAGAGAAGTCAAGGAACTTGCCTCAGGTCACACAGCATAACAACAGGCTTGAACCCTAATCTGCTTCTTTTACCCCAAGTACCTATTCTCCCCAGAGAGCCCTGTCTGCCGAGAAGCGCTGTGAGCCATGGGCTGGGATGGAGAAAGCAGGTTGTGGGTGGGGGGTGCGTGGTGGGGAAAGGGAGCCAGCTAGGGGATGCAGGTCCTGAGGCCAGATCACAATCTCAGGGCTGCCGGCCTAGGTCTGGCTCTGTGCCCAGAGCCCAGTGGTTTTGCTCACAGATGTGCCAACAGCCCCAGTGGAAGGGCGGGAAGGGCACTCAAAAAGGAAGATGTCTTGCTCCTATCAGTCCCAAACCGCAGTGGCTTGTGTGGGGTCCCAGACTGGCCTGGGGGTCCCCCAGGGGCCCCTCTGGCAGACTCTCATCTCGACCCTGGGCACAGCCCCCTGCAGAGCGCACAGACCCCCTTACGCCCTCTTCACTCAGGAGAGCTGAGGCTGCGGTTTGCATCATCTTTGGGCGTGGGGCTGACCTCGAAGAATGAATTCGAAGAAAACAGGAGGAGGAGCAGGCATGCCAGAGCCAGGCGCCCATTGGCCGCCTTAGAGACTTTGGTTTTTGGGGTCATGTTCCCAGAAGGCCTGCCCTCCCCCTCCCCCTCCCCCTCCCCACCCACCTCACGAGGTGTTGGCCAATCGCCCTGGGCATAAAGTGGCTGCCAGCCCGCAGGGCTCCCAGCCGGGAGGTGTCACCCCGAGTAGGCGCGGGCCGGAGCTCGGGCACCCAGCATGTGGGCACAACTTACTTGGAGGACGCTGCTCAGTAAGTACTTCCTTCCTCTCCACCAGCACTTGCTTGCTGTGCCCTCGGGCGCCGGCGGGGAGCAGGACTACCTTCTGTCCGCCGGAGCTGTGGAGGGCAGGCACTGGGCCGAAGGATGCTGAAAAGGGGAAAGAACCAGGAGGACAGGCCAAGAGAGTGCTCCACGGAGAACCTGGCATCTTCACAGGCTGAAGACGGGGTATCCCAGGAGGGCTTCCAGGGGGAGGTGATAGAGAGGCAGCTCTGGGAGTCAGGGAGTGAGGGGTTGGGCGAGAGGCTGGGGCAGGAGGAGGAAGGTAGATGCGCGGGCCTGAGGAGGAAGCTGAGCAGGAAAATGGTGCAATGTCTGGAGGAGCTGCGGGCCCTCCTCGCCCCGACTCGCAGGGTCTGGGATGGATAGGCGCGGGGACCCCAGCACCCACACAATCACACAGCACACTTAGCCACACCCACAGGGTGGCAGGCACACGGAGCCACGTGACCTCAGCCAGAGCCCTCAATCTCACCAAGCTAGGGTGGACGGGGCACAGCACCTGTGCGCTGCCGGCTGCTCCCCCGAGCCTGACAGAAACCCAGACCGGGATGCACCCCCACCAGACACCCTCAGGCTCGTAAGGGTTCCCCTCTGAAGCCCGGCGGCAGATACCTGGAGAGGCGGCGAGGGGTGCTGTGTGGTCACTGCCTGGGCGCCCAGCCCCTCCACCCTCCCCAGCAGCGTCTTCCCCAAGGGACCGAAGGGGGAACATGGTGTCTCTGCCTTCCGGGCCATTGCGCCACAGACCCCTTCCGACCACGTGACTGCGGGTGCCTGATGCGGGAGGGGGGGGTAGGCGGCAACTGGCAGCTGCGCCCGCCCCCCCAGGGCCTTCCAATGGGTTCAGGCATCCCTGGTGCACCTGCAGAGGGAGGCGTGGGTGCTCAGGGCCGAGTTCTGACCGGTGGGGCCTTGCCTTGGTTTTCCTATCAGTGGAAAGGGGCCTGGATTGGATGATCTCCCTTAGTCTTCCCAGAGGGAACCTCCGGACGGCCAGGCAGCCCCCACCTGTTCCGCAGACATAACTGGGGTGCCAGGTTGCTCCTGGGCTGTTCGCCCCAAAGTCCTCTTGAGCCTGCCTGCATGGAAGGCTGGGGTCTGCGACAAGGGGTCCAGGGGCCTGGGGCAGCAGCCACCCCCGAACCCAGAGGTCTTGCCAAGCGTTCCTGCTTCTCCAGCCTCTGGGGCAGCTCCTGGGTTGGAAGCACGGTTGGCACAGGTGCCCCACAGCCTCTCAAATGCCTACTTGGGGCATCAACGCCACTGATTCAGGTGCTGGGCAGTGACCACTGGGGAGGGGACAGCGGCCCAGCAGGCGCTCCTGTGCACACCACAGCCCAGGCCCACCCTCGAGGCATAGAGCCGGGGCTCAGGGCTGCATCCTCTAAGGTTCTCCCGAGCTCCTCCCCTCTGAAAGCCCCCTCCTCTGGCTTCCTCCGCAAGTCACATGACCGCGCCCTCCCCTTCTCTGGCCCAGGTCTGGTCCTCAGACTCCTGCTCCTGAGCGCGGCAGCCATGGGTGGCTGCTCAGGCAAGTACCACGAGCTCCTCAGGCAGCTCCAGCACCAGGCCGACTTCATGAAGAACCGCAACATGCTCCTGGAGCCCTACGTGAGTGCCTGGCCCCTGGGGGCGTCTGAGTCTCCGAGCTGCAGGGTCAGGGCAGAGTGAGCCCTAGGAGGATTGGGCCCAGCTCTCAGCCCCCAACCCCAGTCAGAAAGGGGTGGGTGGGAGAACCAAGCCCCTGAGTTATTCTGTAGTCATGGGGAACATTTCAGGCCTAGCCCTGAGATGCCAAGGAGCCAATCCAGCCTTTCCAGCTCAGTGGGCCTGGAGTGTGATGCTCACTTCGTAGCCTCCTCCGTCCTCTTGTCCAGCATGCTTGCTGCACACCTGCCACCTGCGCGCCTCGCTCAGGTGCCTGGCACGAGGCAGTGAACAAAGCAGTCCCCCACATTGACTCTCCCCATAATGCAATCACTGCTGTGGGGCCACCCCCTCCCCAGGGCCCCGGGCCCAGTCTGGAGTGACCTGGAAGTTCTCTCCCCTTTCCAGCCTCAGTTTCTGCATCTGTGCAATGGGAAGGTTGGATGGAGGGTGCAGGAGGTCTAACATTTCAAAACCAACCAGAGCAGACTTGCCTGTGTGTATGTGTGTGCGTGCACGTGTGTGCGTGTGCGCGTGTGCTCCAGCACTAAATCCCCTCCTGCCTTCCCTCCAGATCCACATCCAAGGTCTGGACGTGTCTGGACTGCAAGAGCACTGTAAGGAGCACCCTGGGGCCTTCCTGAGCGAGGATGCCCTGTGGGGGCTCAGCAGGCAAAGCTTCCTGCAAACCCTGGACACCAGGCTGGGCCACATCCTACACAGACTGAAGGCCTTACAGCAGGGTCTCCCCAAAGCCGAGTTCTTGAGGATGGGCATGCTGAACATCCGAGGATTCAGGAACAACATTCACTGCATGGCCCAGCTGTTCCCGGACACCTCAGAGGCCACTAAGCCCACTCAGGCAGGCCCGCTGGACTTGCCATCGGCAACCCCTACCTCAGACGCCTTTCAGCGCAAGTTGGAGGGCTGCAGGTTCCTGAGTGGCTACCACCGCTTCATGCACTCAGTGGGGCAGGTCTTCAGGGGGTGGCGGCCGAGCCTCAGCCGAAACCGGAGACACAGCCCCCACCTAGTCCTGCGGAAGGGGGCCCAGATGATGCAACCCTCCAGGAAGGGACAGAGACCAGTCCCCGGGATGCAGCTGCCCCGGTAGCCTTAGCGCCCCCCTGTAGGGTGTCCTACAGGATGGCGCCTCCTCAGGGTCTCCAAACTGCTCCTCTCCATTTGCAACCCTTGAAGAGCACTTTAACAGGTGGGGGCCACGCAGGCCCTTTCATCTCCTCAGAGTTAGGGGCTAGGGCCAGTCTGTTGTAGTCCCTAGGCCTGAGTTCGCCAGTCCCAATGGGGTGTCAGGGTTGGGCCACGTGTGGCCAACTTTCCATTGATTCAGGGGTCTGATGACACAGGCTGACTCACGGCCAGACTGCTCCCCTCCGCTCCCCGGAGGCCTGCCGGCCCTTCCCTCTCATGACTTGCAGGCTGTGGCCCCCAGACTTCCTCCTTTCGTGGTGCCGTGGTTCTGAGGGGGAGGTCAGGCCTGAGCTGGCCTTCTATGCCTCACTGCCAGCCTGGGGCCAGACACCTGGACGTCTGGGTGACCTCACTCTAGGCCGCTATGACAGGGGCAGACTGTCCGAGTAGGACACTGACTTGGGGCAGGGGTTGCACCCAAGGAATGGGGCTCAGGTCCCAGCTGGGCCCCTAACTCACATGTGGCCTCGGGCAGGCCACTTTACCTCTCTGACCTCAGTTTTCTCTTTGTGAATGGAGGGGGCTGGGGACTGCATAAAGTCCGCTCTGTCTGGCGTGGCTGGAGTTCTGCAACAGGGCGCATATCAAATTCCCTCTGTAAATCAGAATATTCTCTTCAAATGGCCCCGGGTGCAGACTCCTGCGGAAGGAGACCAGGAGTGCCAGGAAGTGGCTGCAGGCGGCTCCCCCTGGTGGTGCATTTTGGCATCGACTCATGCTGAACAACCCTTCTAGAAGGGGTTCCAGAAGCTGCTGGGCCTTTTCCTTGAAGGAACACAACTAATTTATCAATTTTTATCAGTTTCCTATTTATAAGGCTTATTTATAATGTGTATTTAAGGTTAATATTGTATCAACATATATTTAAAAGTTTTCTGGTTTCTAAAACCCCTGTGTTTTCTGTTGCCTGTGGGAGAGAATTTAGGGAGCTGGGCCTCTTAGACAAGGGGTCTCGAAGTGGCAAGGCCACACGTGTCCATGCCTGAGGGCTGGGCTGGAGGGCTTTGATGTGTCTAGGGAGGGAAGTCACATGTCCAGCCAGCTGGGGCCTCTGACTGAGGGGGTGTCTCAGACACAGACAAGGCACTTGTTGTGTCTGGACGGGTCTCCCTTGAGACACCAGGGGGGGAGACACATGGTGTCTTGAGACACATGGTGGGGGAACGGCGGGTGGAAGGCTAGAGTGTGGGTGGGTGTGTGGCGAGGGTGTGTGTGCTGATGTGTGTTGTGTGAAATGGACAACATAATAATAGATCCTGCCTCAGATTTGGCCTGGGAACTAGTATATGCTTGAAAATACATTCTGAGGCTTCCCCAGGGCATCAGGGATACCATCCAGCTCCCCAGAAAACTGAGCTCCCCCCCAATGCTCAGGAACCCCGCCTCAGGTGGAGCACCCATAGGTCTATGAGAGGCTGAGGCAGCAGTTACAAAGGAAGGACGAATAAGAGCAGATAGATTGACCTGGATCAGTCCCTGGCTACCCCCACTTTCGGGGGATGGAGAAGATCAAGGTGGGAACAGGACTTCACATCATGGGAGGGGAGACCCCACGAAGACTCGTCTGCAATTGAAACGAGCAGCTTTGCAGAGGAGACTGGGGCTCGGGGTTGGAGTGACCTGTCCACCTGGTCAGAACCAACAGACTGGGGGTGTGCATTTGGAATCCAAGTCTGTGAGGCTCGAGGGCAGGACCATCTTCCTGTTACCCATCAGCCTCTGGAACTTGGCTGACAATTTCCCGCATCCCTGAGAGGACAGGGCCCCAGGTGAGGAGCAGACAGACAGTAGCAAAAACCCAAAAGGAGCACCTGAGGTAGCAATGGAGCGAGGCAAAAGTCAAGCAGGGTGATGTAATAGTGAGAGTCAGGCCACGTGGGTGGTCAGGGTGGCGTCTGGAAGAGGTGACATGCGCGACACTGACTGGGTGACACGCAGGGGAGGGGTGGGGCCTTCCAGGTGGCAGGGACAAAGAAGGCAAAGGCTCTCAGCATTGGAGGATCAGAGTGTAGTGAGTAAGGGCCTCACTGATAAAGACCCAGAGAGGGGGAGCAGCTTGCCCAAGGTCACAGAGCAAGTCACAGAGCAAGGACTGGGCTAGGACTCTGGGGCCCTGACTTCCACCCAGCAGTCTCCTGAGGCAGCACCCATCACACTCCTCCTAAGCGTTCGCCCTTGCTCTTGGGGCTCCTGGCACTCTGGCCATTTTTTTGGCTCCTGAAATGCCCCGGCTCCCCCCTACCACGAGGCCCCTTCTCGTGCTGTTCCCTCTGTCTGCTCCTTTCCTTCTGATCAGCGCAGCTGCAGAAATTCAGGCCCCTTGCCCACGGCCTGCGTCCAGGTGCTCGGCTGTTTTCCAGTAACTCTCCGGGAAGAGTTGGGGGAATCACCTGAGCGGCCCTTGCCACTACCTCCCACTCCCCACTCTAGCTGCCCAAGGTGGAGACAGCTTCTGTTTGCTCTGCTGCATCCCAGCGCCCTGCACAGTGTCTGGCACCCAGTAGGAGCTCAGTGAGGCGCAGGGAGAATGGGGTCCAGTTCCCCCAACCTGAAGGGGAAGACAGAGGCAAATGCGTTGATGGAAATGAAGTGCCAGGGAGCCTGGCCCCCAAGAGGTCCCCCAGGGTGACCCCAGCACGGGAGGCTGGCCTCCCCCTGTTTTGCCTCGCCCAGCATGGGGGTTGGGGGCTTTCCTTGGGCTGGGTTGCTGGGAAGCTGTGGGTGGGAGGCGACAGACGTGCTAGGTTCCTGGAGCGGAAGGGGAGCTGGTGTGCGGCTGCCTCGTGGTTGCCCACGGAGAGGCAGAGGTTGGCCTGTGGAGGAAGAGCTGGGAAGCATGAGGTGGCTGCCCCCACCCTTGCCTGGGGCTCTTGCCAGCCCCCCACTCCACGGCCAGGCCCCAGGAGAGGTGTCTGAGGCTGACTTTGGGCTGGAAAAGCACCCATCCCGTAGGAAGCGGATCAGGGCGCTCCAGCGGCTGGGCTAGAGTTTTAGGAGTGCTCCCTATGAAGGTTTGTCACCACCATGTCTTCTGATGACACCACAGCCGCAGGGGGCCCCAGATCACCGTCACCAGCCTGGTCCTCTCCCCAGCCCAGGGGCACAGCTGCTGGGAGCCCTGTGGATACCTCAAGGTCAAAACCACCCCCAACTCCATACCTGCCTTCGGCTTCCCCTTGACCCCGCTGGCCTTCCAGATCCCCAGCCCGTCTCCTTCTCCTCCCTCAGCCCCCCTGACCTCTGACCTCATGGTTCACCCAGCCCCCAGCCCCGGGGTTCCTCCCACACCCTATCTGATACCTGCTTCCTCCCCCCACTGCCGCAGGTGTCAGGTCTGTCAGCACAACTTCTCCTGCCACACACCTGGGGGCTCAGCCCGCCCCAAACCCGAGGCCCCTGTTCTCACCCTGCCGGCTCAGCCAGGCCCTCTCCTTAACTCCCTGCTCAGCTGACCCCCACCACACCCAGGCATCCCGACCTCCCCAAGCCTGCACGTCCCCCTCCTGACTCCAGCCACCCTCCACCCTGAGGTCAGGCTCAAGCGCTGAGCGCCTCCTCCAGATGGGCTCCCGGGGCTTCCTTGGTGCTGCGGGCCGCTCGCCTGCCAGGGGCCATTCTGGAGTCTGCAGCTGTGGTCAGAAGTCCTCTCTGATCACCCATTCCCCTCTCCAACAACTGCTGTGAAATGGGGGTCCCCAGGGCCATCTGCGGTGATGGCCGTGGGGAGGGCACGCTCATGACCCCTGCTCTTGGGCCGCAGCCTGAGCGGACGCCCCGCGCCACCCTTTCTGGGGTCGGCGGGGCTCTGCGGGCCTGCAAGTCCCCCTCGCCACAGGCTGGTGAAGGGCAAGGTGCCCACAGCCACGGCTGGGTTCAGGTGAAGGGCCTGGCTCTGCTGCTTGCACACTCCTGAAGTTGGGGTTCCCTTTTCCTCTTTGAAGTTTTTCAGGGTGACAGTCCCTGCGCCTCTGCCAGCGCCGCGTGCACGCTTGTCTAAGACCCGTTCACAGCAGCAAACGGCCGAGCCATTGTGCTGCAGCCCTGTCAGTGTCCCCCAGTTTAAGGTGGCCTCTCCTCTTTCTGGGGTGGGGGTGCCGAGAGGTACTTGATGTTAAGCAAACAGGTTTAGGCCCCCAGGCCCCCGCCCTCAGCAGGGGTGTCAGCTCCCGGCTGAGTCTCGGGTCCCCCTCTGTGGGGGGGCCGCTTGCCAGCTCCCAGGGCCGCGGCGGGAGCCGTGTGGGCGCTGCGGGGAGCAGGCGTGCAGCAGCGCGGGCTGTTTTCTCTCGTGTTCCTTCTCCTTATTGGTTTTCTTTCCCCGCAGCTCTGTTTTTTCGTCCCGTCCCCCCCCACGTTCCCACCCTCCACCCCAAGCCCGAGACCCGACGAACCCCTTTCCCAGGCCGCGGGAAGGGTCACAGTCCACCGTCAGAGCGGGGAGGCCCTGGGCTGGGCCGGCCCCACTCCCTGCTTCCTGGGGCGTCCCCTGGCGGGCCGGGCTCCCGGCTGGGGAGGGGCGAAGGTCTCCGCGGCCGGGGGTTGGGCAGGTGGGGCCCTGGAGCCAATAGAGGCGGAAGGACGGCCCAGGTGACTCCGTGGAGCCCAGGGCTCCGAGGTGGGTGCGAGGGCCGGGATGGTGTCTTGGGGGAGCACTGACCCCAGGGGTGCCTGCGGCCCCGGGAATCTTGCGGGGCCGGGCTGGGGACATGGGCCGGGTGCACACGGCCTGCGGCAGGTCTGAGTCAAAACACCTAAGGCCGACCCCGGACGGTCATGCGGAGGGCTGCCCAGTCATCGCCTTATGCCGGCCTGGGTCACCCAGGCGGGCTGGGCGCGGTCCAGTCAGCTGTGACTCAGGTCCCAGAGGCCTCTCCATGCAGCGCTGGGCAGGGGTGAGGGGCATCC